GTGGGGTTTCCCGTTCCTCCAGGGGTTTCCTGTTCCTCCAGGGGTTTCCCGTTTCTCCAGGGGTTTCCCGTTCCTCCAGGGGTTTCCTGTTTCTCCAGGGGTTTCTGCTTCTCTGTGGGTTTTTCCTCCCCTTGGTGAAAGATCGCAATTTTGTCATGTTTAGAAAAGCTCAGCTTTATCTTCTCCTTCCTTTGGCCATCTCCATCCCATTCCTGTGGCCATCTCCATCCCAATTCTATTGTTCTCCATCCCATCCCATTGTTCCTCCATCCCAATCCCATTGTTCACCTCCTTGTCCTTCCCCACCCATCATTTTCTCTGGAATTCTGGGTTTTTCTCTGGAATTCCGCGTCCTCCCCCGCTCCCTTGGCCCGTTCCGCGTCCCTCCGCTCCCGCCGCAGATTCCGGCTGGGATTCAAGCACGCCTTCCGCTGGTGCCCGTGCGTCAGCGCCGGCGACTACGAGGGGCTGGAGCTGCGCTCGGCGCGTTTCCTGCACACGCACGGCTCCGTCTCCAAGCTCAGCCGCACCGACACCGCCACCGTGGCCTCGGCGCTGGGCGCGGCCGACGAGGAGCCGGACGAGCCGGGCCGGGCCGAGCGCCTCTCCCTGGACGTCACCTCCAACGGTTCCTCCCGCAGCGATTCCAAGACGGTCTCCGAGAGCTTCAGCTTCTACTCCAACACCCCGACCTAGGGGTGTCCCCTCGGCGTCACCGCGCCGCTCGTGTCCCGCGCTGTTTTCCCGTCTCTGTTCCTTGGGATCGGTTCCGTGTGTTCCGGGCTGGGCACCAGGAATGTTTTCGCTGCCTGGTTGGAGATGGAGGGGACGCAGGAATGGGACAAAGCCGGGTTTTTCTCTGGAATTCCAATGTTGGTTGGCGTTTCTGTGCTCTCTGCGAGGCAGGAGAACCTCCAGAGGATCTCCTGGTGTATCCCACCCCATGGAAAACGATTCCCTCCTCCCATCCTTCATTTCCTTCTCCCTGTTGGATGTCCAGGGGGTTCCTGAATCCCAAAACGGCTTTTTCCAGCTCCATGGGGAATCATCAGCCACGCCGCAGATCCGGGACTTCCTGCATGGGCTTGGATCATCTCCAGCATCCACATCTGCTGCTCCTGGTCTCCCGCTGTCGCTCCAAACCCGCTCATCGGAGCGGAGATTCCCAAGGGATCTCCTGAAGGGTCTCACAAATGACCTCCTGAAGTGTCTTCAAGGATCTCCAAAGGATCTCCTGAAGAGTCTCCTGAAGGATCTCCTGAAGGGTCTCCTGAAGGGTCTCCTGAAGGGTCTTCAAGGATCTTCAAAGGATCTCCTGAAGGATCTCCAGAGGATCTCCTGAAGTGTCTTCAAGGATCTCTAAAGGATCTCCCCAAGGATCTCCTGAAGGGTCTCCAGAGGAACTCCTGAAGGGTCTCCTGAAGGGTCTCCTGAAGGGTCTTCAAGGATCTCCAGAGGATCTCCTGAAGGGTCTCCAGAGGGAACTCCTGAAGGGTCTCCTGAAGGGTCTCCAAAGGATCTCCCGAAGGGTCTCCAGAGGATTTCCAAAGGATCTCCCCAAGGATCTCCTGAAGGATCTCTGAGCTGAGCTGGGCTTTAGCTGCTGTTCCTCAACCACCCCAAGGGATTCCTGTGATTCCCTGGAAATCCAAGGCGACGCCTCTTGGATGGACTCTGGAACGCCATGGAGCTCTGGAAAAGGGGAGACCACCCTGAAGTGATTCCCACCCCCTGGGAATAGATTCCATCCCAAAAACGAGGATTGGAGGGAGCTCGGGAATTCTCCAGAGCCGCTTTCACCCCCAGGCTTCGGAGGATTCCCTTCCACCTCCTGCCTTTTGTTTTAATTAGGGAATTTTTATTTTTCCTTTGCAAAATCCACGAGGTTCCCGATGTGTGCACGGATTCATGGAATGTTCCCGTTCTCGTGGATCGTTTTCCCAGGATTCCTCCAGAGGATGAACACACACCCAGAGTGAGGAGAACACGAAATTCCAAGCGGATAAACTCGGAATAAATCCACAAATTTGGGGAAAATCTGGGGTGGAATTGGCTCCCAAGTTCTCATTTGGGGTGTGGAAATTTGGCTCCTGAATGGATTCGCTGGAACTCTGGAGAAATGTCCTGGTCCCTGCTCCATTCCCGTCTCCTGGCCGCCTGAATCCAGAGGTTTTTCCAGGTTTTTTCAGGAAGATCTCAAATCAGAGATTCAGTTCCCAAACCGGGCGGTTCCTTTGCCTCTTCCCCGGCACCCGCGAGGAAAATCAGCGGAATCTGATGGGAATTCCCTGGAGTTCTGCTCCCACCACCCGGAAAACTCCCTCATCCCAAACTCCAAATCCCAAATCCCAGACTGGAGCCGCCTCCTGACCCCAAAACTTTGGTTTTAACCTCAGCTTTGTGTCGTGAAATGCAGAAATTCCCGTCCCCACTGAACGGGAGCAGCAAATTCCAAATCCACCCTCGGGATCCGCCCCTAAATCCACCCTCTACACCCTACTCCACGTGGGACCGTCCCTCCCCCAGCACCAACCCCTGGATTCGGGAATCTTGTTGGATTTTTGGGAATTTTGCTGGACTTTTCAGGGATTTTACTGGATTTTTGGGATTCAAACAGGCCTGGCCCTGCTTGGCAGCAAAACTCCGGTGCCTTCGGAAGTCACAGCCAAGGATCCGGCGGTGCCTTTGGAAGCCGAAGCCAAGGATCCATCTGGGAGCAATTCCCATTGTTCGGAGCGGTTTTTTCTGGGATCAGGCCTGTCCCACCCATCCTTGGCTTTATTGTTGTTTTTATTTCCTGTCCCTCCAGCAGGATCCGTTGTTTACGGAGCGTTTCCCACTTGGAATGACGAGATTTGGGTTTTTCGGGATTTCCGTGTCCTTGCCAGAGCCCTGGTGTGAGGTCACGGAGCTTGGCCTGGGAGCTCCCGGTGTTTATTTTGCATTAAAATCATCAGTATCCATAAAAATTCCAATTTTCAGCCTTCAGGAGCCACCACGGGCGCTTCCAGGCTTCCCCATTCCGGGATTTTGGGATTTACTCATCTCATCCTGCCCCAAAATTCTGTGTCCAGCTGAAAAATGGACACAATCGTTCTATTAGCATGAGAATCCCCCTTTTCCTTGGAATATCCAACCCAAATCCCGTTCCTGCTGGAATATCCACTCCCAAATCCCATTTCTATGGAATATCCACTCCCAAATCCCATCCCTGTGGAATATCTATTCCCAAATCCCATCCCTGTGGAATATCCATTCCCAAATCCCATCCCTGTGGAATATCTATCTACTCCCAAATCTCATCCCTGTGGAATATCCATTCCCAAATCCCATTTCTATGGAATATCCACTCCCAAATCCCATCCCTGTGGAATATCTATCTACTCCCAAATCTCATTCCTGTGGAATACCCATTCCCAAATCCCATTTCTATGGAATATCCACTCCCAAATCCCATCCCTGTGGAATATCCACTCCCAAATCCCATCCCTGTGGAATATCCATTCCCAAATCCCATCCCTGTGGAATATCTATTCCCAAATCCCATCCCTGTGGAATATCCACCCCAAATCCCATCCCTGTGGAATATCCACCCCAAATCCCATCCCTGTGACTCCGACATCCCTGGGGAATTCGGGATTTTGGGATGGCAGCAGCTGGAAGGAGCTTTCTGGAAAGTTCTTCCCACGGGAGCATCCCAAGAGAGGGGGAACCCAGCCGAACTTCCCAAAGCGTCTCGGGATTGTCCCACTGTGGATTTTCATGGATAAATATTCCTTTGATGTGGAGAATGGTTCGTTATCCCTTAACGAGGGGAGGAGGGGTGGGAGCGGGAAGAGGTGGAAAAGGTGGAAAAGGTAAAATTCCATAAAAAAGATGGATGGGTTCGGGACACCCTTGGTGGGGGGAGGCTTGTCCTGAAACGTCACCAAAACAGGAAAAGGGACAATTCCCAAAATTCCTCCTCAAATTCCAGGCTGGGAGCACGGCCCTGATTCCCAAATCATGGGAAAGGCTCCGTTCTCCGGGAAATTCCTGGAGTTTCCAGTGTCCCTCACGGATCCCGGCTCCCCAAATCCCGCTGCTCCGCCGGGAATGCGCGATTCCCGCTTTTTCCGTGCACCGATGGCGGAACATTCCGGATGGGAATTACGGGAGCATCCAACCCCCGCCGGCGGTTCCGGCTGGCTGGAATTCCAGATTTTAATTAAAGCAGCGTTCCCGGGCTCAGCTCCGTCCCACGGGCCCGGTAAATTCCGGCTGTTGGTTTTCCATGAGTGATTTTCTCCGGGAAAAAAGGGGGGAAGGGATAAACATCCACATTCTCCCGGCTGAGCTTCCTGGGAATGCCGGGCTGGATCCCCCTTCCCGGTGGGATTCAGATCCAAACAAATCCACTGGGATCATCCAATTCCTGGCGGGATTCAGATCCAAACAAATCCATCGGGATCATCCAATTCCCAGCAGGATTCAGATCCCAACAAATCCGTTGGGATCACCCAATTCCCAGTGGGATTCAGATCCCCAAGGATCCATTGGGATCATCCAATTCCCAGCGGGATTCAGATCCCAACAAATCCATTGGGATCACCCCATCCCAGAGGGATTCAGATCCCCACGGATCCATCGGGATCATCCCACCCCCTTTTCCAGGAATGGGGAATTTCTCCCCCATCCCAGAAAATGAGGTCGAGCCTTTATTGGGTACAAAAATCCCCCTCAGCCTCACAAGGAAAGGGAATTCCACATTCCCAAGGCTTTGGCTTATCCCTCCATCTCCAATTCCATGGGAAACCCCCCAAATTCAGGGCCTGACCCCCCAAAAAACCCCAAATTTTGTCGTTTTTTGTGCTTTCCGAGCAGGATCCGCAGCTTTGAGCGAGCCCATTCCCGCTGAATTCCTGCTCTGCTTCAGCCTCATTTCCATGGATGCATCCCAGCGTTTTGCATAAATGTTTGCTTAATGCCGAGTCCAAAATATCCCGGAAAATAAAAAAAAAATGGGAATTCAAAGAAGCTCAAGGGGTGGATCCCGCGGTTTCCATGGCACCCGGGGGGGCTCTTCCCAAAAAAAATCAGAGCTCGGGAAGGAACGGCTCTGATTCCGAACACCCGCACGGAAGCGGATTCGCGTTTTTCAGGAATCCCCGGTTTCATTTTGGGGCAGATTCCCACAGCTTTGGGGTTCCTGGAGGGTGGAGAATTCCGGCTCGTTCCCAGCAGTAATTAGCGTTAATTACCCTCGGTAATTACTGAGCTGCGAGCAGGAGCTGCTGGGAGATTTCGGCAGCGAAACCAACCCAGGCTGAGTGGGAATTTTGGGGTGGGAAAGGAGGAATTCCAAAGGATTTGGTGTTTCCAGGGCCGAGAAACCTCCAGGGCATCGGGAATTCCAGAGGGAAGGAAGGAAAAAGGGGAGAGAGGGAATTGCTCCCACGGGATGCTCCCATGGGCTTAATCAGAAATTAATTATTAATTAGAGCAACCAGATGGGCAGGGAGGGGTTGCAGGAATTAAGGAATCCTGGGGGGATCCACGCTCCAGCCAGGAGATTTTTTAGGAAGAAATTCCTCCCTGAGGGGTTGGGATGGAATTCCCAGAGGAGCTGTGGCTGCCCCTGGAATTGTCCAAAGCCAGGTTGGAAAGGGCACCAAAAATCTGGGAAATCTTGGGATTTGTGGCACAAGAATTTGGGATAAAACACCGGGAATGGGAGGGTCAGATCTTCTCTGCTCATCGGGAATGAGGGGCAGGAGAAGGGATTGGGGTCATTCCCTGGGAATGAGGGGCAGGAGAAGGGATTGGGGTCATTCCCTGGGAATGAGGGGCAGGAAAAGGGATTGAGGCCATTCCCAGGAGCAGGAGAAGGGATTGGGACCATTCCCAGGGAATGGGGGGCAGGAAAAGGGATTGAGGCCATTCCCAGGAGCAGGAAAAGGGATTGGGACCATTCCCAGGAGCAGGAGAAGGGATTGGGACCATTCCCAGGATCAGGAGAAGGGATTGAGGCCATTCCCAGGATCAGGAGAAGGGATTGGGGCCATTCCCAGGAGCAGGAGAAGGGATTGGGGCCATTCCCAGGAGCAGGAGAAGGGATTGAGGCCATCCCCAGGAGCAGGAGAAGGGATTGGGACCATTCCCAGGAGCAGGACTTGACTTGAGCTCAGCTCCGGAGGGATGGATGGAGCCAAGATAAAACCGGGATTTTGGGGTTAACCACCTCTAAATCCACACATTCCTTAGGAAAAACGGGATTGTCCTCAGCTGGTTGATGGACGATTGTGTTTGGAAGGGATTCCATGGAAACCCGTCACTCCCATCCTGGGATTGGCCCTTCCCAGGAATCTGGAATATCCTGGATAAGGACACCATTCCCTAAATCCGGATTTTCCCCCTGTGGCTCCATCCCGAGCTGGAGCTCGGGTTTGATGATCCTAAAGGCCTTTTCCATCCTCAACAATTCCACGGTTCTGCTCCGTGCAGGGAAGGGAAAAGCTGGGAATCATCGATCCACAGCTTTTCCTCCTGCTCCATCCAGCGGCTCAGCCGGGAAAAACCGCCGGGAAAAACAGCAGCATCCCTAAATCCAAGGAATTCACTTGGGAATGCTGGAAAAGCTCCTGCTGCGGGTGGGATTCAAGTCCCTCTTCCCAAACCTTGGAGTGCAGTGGAATTCCCAAGTTTTGGGGGCGGATCTGGCGCTTCCAGGCCATCCCAAGTTTTTTCCCTAAAGCTCCCAGAGCCCAAGGGATGCTCCAGAAGGAAAAGCGTGGGATTTGTTTCCCTCTTGGGGGAGTTTTGCCTCAAGCACAGAGCTCGGGGCTCTCCCGGGAATGTCCCCTCAGGCCGGGATCTGGAGCCGTGAGGATCACAGGGAATGTGGGAATTACAGTCGGAGAATCCCGGGGAATGTGGGAATTACACCCTGAGGATCACAGGGAATGTGGGAATCACACCCGGAGGGTCCCGGGGAATGAGGGAATCACACCCGGAGGGTCCCGGGGAATGCGGGAATCACACCCGGAGGGTCCCGGGGAAGGCCCGGAGGTTGCGCTCAATGTCAAGGTGGGGATCGGGCCCAGCTTGGACTCGGTGATCCCAAAGATTCCAACCTCAGTGATCCGGGATTCCGGGATTCTGGGATTCCGGGATTCGCGGCGCTGCCCCGGCGGCTCCTCCTCCTTCAGGGGGGCCCCGGGGCAGCACCGGAGGCCGCGGCCGCCGCTCCGGGCCCGGGGAGAATGGGGAGAACGGGGGAATGGGAAGAACAGAGAGAATGGAAGGAACAGGGGGAAAGGAGGGAACGGGAAGAACGGAAGGAAGGGAAGGAATAGAAGGAATAACGGGACCGGAGCAATAGCGGCGCCGCCCCCTCACGGCTCCCCTCAGCGCTTCCCCTCAGCCGTTAATGAGCGCGCGCC